TGGACTTGATGCATTTTTTAAGCCTTTCCATTACGTAATAAGGACTGTGAGCTCATGCTGCAGCCTTTCTATTCAGTTGAATAGTAGGATTTCTACCTCCTACTCTGCTGCCCATTTTCATTCAACTTTGAGGAATTTGGCATCTGAGACTTTTACCCCTCCTTCATTTTCGGTTTAAACTATTCAAATGGTTCAAACATTATTTAAGGAAGGACTGAGAGCAGACAGATAGAGGCACACATGTAAATATTTATCTATGCACACACTGATACACCGCTGATTAAACTGATCAATAGACTTTTTCCCTTATGTCTCAAAAATAAATAAAAAATTAAAGTGAGTAAGGGCAGTAGAAGAGACAGATGAACAAAAAATTATGTGTCAGTACATGATACAAGAGGTAACATAAATGGGGAGGAGGCAATCATCCACACACAGCTCACACCAGCAGCAAAAGTTCTGGGGAACTATCAGTGTATACAGTTGTGTGCAGTAAAGCAACAGATGCCCATTTTCACCACAGGTAATTTATTAAACAAATATCTCCCATTATGGTTTCACATTAGCCATACTTCCCTAAATATGTGTAAGTACATAACTCATTTTATGGGCCCCCCCCCCCCCCCCCCAGCCAATACCTATCTGGTTACAAATTTACTATGATGCCTAAAATAAAAACATATCACAATGTCTTTTTTGTAATCAAGGAACTGAAAAAAATATTAATCTTGTGCTCTTTCACTAACCTGAACTTGCAGAATAATATTAGCTTATCAGTGATTCTTGCATCATATTTCAAGAGATAAGAAGTCTTACAACACTAAAAACTTAAAAAAAAATTCACAAAAATACTAACTATTTTTCAGTCAAATCTGACACAATACACTTACACAGTTAGTACCTCATGGATAATTTTGCTTCATAAACTTACTTTACTGTTCTTTTTCTCTCAGTAGTGGCATCTTTTGTAGAATTTAATAGTATTCACGAGAGAGAAAATATTCTGCAAAGTAAAAAGAAGCCAGCAAAAGCTGCTACATAATAAAAGTGCCTCTGAGGAGGGTAAAATAAGAATGCATAATTGTATTTGAGCATGCAGATGTATTTTAGCATTAAACTCTGCTGCCTGTTAATGCTTCTTATAAAAAATATATGGGCATTTGGACATATGGTGATAGAAGGAAATAATTCTTACTCCGGGAGTTATTGGTTTTGTGTAAGCCTTAGCCAGAAGGTATTTCTGTGGCCAACCATGAAAAAGGATTTTAAAAAGTCTTACAAGTTTTTAATTTTAATAAGAAAATCTACAGCTAGTAATTTTTATTAACAGAAAATGTATATAGAATCTCTTAAACCACCATGTCTGAGAACTTGGATAGAAATAAAGACAAAACCTGTTTTGTATATGTGTTTTTCAGAATGATCTGTTGCATGTTCCTGTTGTACTTCTACCTCTAATAAGGACCTGAGCTGGAGCTAGAATGCTAGACTGGGTGGAGATCTGGCTGAACGCAGAAGAGCGCTTCCTTTGCTCGTAGACATTGGCCTGTCTGTAAAGGTCTTTTCTCAAAAGCCCGAGAGAAGACGTAACTCATGGGAAGCTGGACCTGTGTTACACCACCATGAGGCATGCCCTATGCTGTGCTAGTATGGGCATGTTTGCATCCCATGTGCTCCAGAGAGTATGTTGCTGCTCCTCCTTCCCAGGGCTGTCGCCTGCACGCAGGCCAGTCAGAGCTGGAGGGCAGCTGCAAAGGTGGTCCGGAATCATAACCCTTAATGTTTTTGGAAGTAAATTCACCAAAACAGGAGACCAGTTTGCAGAGCTGCCCCAAGATGTGGGCTTAAGGCACAATTCTGCCTTCACTCTTTTTTTTTGTATGCTCAGTGCAGATTGCAATCAACTAGTCAGCAGGGCACGGCACTCGTTGCAGCATGCAGTACATGGGTGACAACTCCATATCAAGAAAATCTTCCTCCTGCTTCACTGTAGCACGGAACTACTCTGCGTTCAATAGTTTTTGTTACCTAAATGCTGACTCCTCTAATTTGTATCAGCAGTTTGGGAAGAATGATTTATTGTCTGAGGGTTTTTTTAGGTATATTTACAGTGAAAATCTATAGCAAGCAGATAGTTTAAATCATGCTCAGTGTGCCAGCGCTCCACTCGTCTTTAGAATGTGTTAAATTCAAACACTATTAGTTTACTGAGTCAGGCTTCCCTTTGTTTTACTAATATTTTACGAGTTCCTGTCTTAAACTCCTGGAGACAGATCAGCCTCCAGTGTAATGCTACCAACAGAGTTACATTAGCTGCGAATTCAGGCTGCAGCTTTATTTTCCAGCAGGAGTATATAAAAATGATTTTCCTTCTCCATGTGTATCCTCACTGTGTGCTTTGAGTCATGTCTTTTTATTTGAGTGACTACACTTTCCTGTTTTTTCATACTTAATAGCATTGAAGAGTCCACACAGCAGTGAAAGAAGCAAGACGTATTAAGAAATTTTTTATGCAGGATGCACTCAGGCTTCATCGTGCTCTTAACTATATAGATGAGACCTAACACAACAGCTAGTTACTATCTCTGTGAGCTGTTGTATACACAAGATTGCAAACTGAGATCAGAATAGGGCCTGAGGAATCATTTTGCAGAATCGCATGCTTTTTTTGTAGGAAGGCAAGATGATGCTGTTAAGACACAGGAATTGGTAACAGATCTGGGTTCATAACTAAAGATTTCTGATGTGATTCTTTCAAACGAGTTATGATCTCTTATTTATTACTGTTGATACTAAGGAAGATAAGAGGAATCCTTATCTTGTTAAGCTGAAGAGTTTAATTTTTCATAATAAATGTGATGTGCTCTAACATGACAGTACTGAACGTCACAGCAACAGCTACAAGGAAATAGCATTAAGTACTTTGGCTGAAGTTGTATAGGAAGGTACCTGGATTAAAAAACTGAGAAAACTTTAAAAGCAACCTCACAATAGAGCAAACCTTCACCTCCAGTGCCACTTCTCAGTGCAGAATTATGCTGAAGTGAGCTTTGTATGCAGCGTTGGTATACATCTTTGGTAGAGGTCTCTTAAAAGATATTTTTCAGGCAGCTACATCAGACAGTGAGTGTTTATTTGCTATGTATTTAGTTCTCCACTTAAGTTCACACTTGAGGAATAGTTCGCTCTTCTTCAAAGTATTCTCCTTCTGACTGAATGGTGTTTCCGCAGTAGCAGCCTTCAATAGTTAATCCTGTGTCATGCCCAAGAGGTTCCCCCCCCCCATATCCTCAGTGTGGAGTCAAAGGACAGCAGGAAAAGACAATCATTTCAGCCAAAGGATTATTTACTGATCTAAAAAATACTCGACACCAACAAATCCCCCACAATGCTAAATGGCTAAACAACTTCTCCTTGGAGTGCCAACTCGAAAAGTTACTTGCATTGCACAAAATCGAGGGCAGGTAATACTTTACAGAGAAGAGGCTGAGGACTGTGACCATCTTACCCACCTACATTTAATGTCATTCAATCAAATTACATCATTTATGACCAGACAGGTATCAGTGCTACTTTTTTAGTCACTGCCAATTGTACACTATTTCAATGACAGACATTTTAACAGCCTAATGGAAAAAAAGCAATTTCCTTCCGTTTATGGTAAGTTTTGTATTTAGCTGACGTCAATTTTGTGCATGCACCACCCCACCGTTAACTGTACTTAAAGACACCAGCAGGGAGCAGGTTTGCCATCTCTCCCAGTTGAGGAAGGCAGGTTTCATCACTCAGCTTTGACGTTCGCCGCAGTTACAGTGCTGACAGCTGCTGGCAACACGTCACACCTCCGGCACCGCTTCCTTGTGCTAACTGCCCCACAGGCGCACGTGACGGAAAACAACCCTCCAACTCCCCGGGCCGGGAAGTCGGCGCCTCCCCCCCGGGGACCTGCGCCTGGGAAGTCGGGGGAAGGACCATCCCGCA